TCTCACTTAACTATTTCCTTCAAGGCTGGTGCTTTACCACTTGAGCCACTCTTTTACCTCTAACATTTCACTAGTTAACTGGAGAAAAGAGGCTTCATAGACTTTCTTTGCCCAGGCTAGCTTCGAACCACAATCCTCAAATCTTACCTTCCTGAGTAGCTAGAATTACAGGCATAAGCCACCAGTGCCCAGCTAGGTTTGTGTTTGAAACAGAATTTCTTATTTCAGTCATTTCATCAGTGGAGTAGTAAATCTGCTCCTGATTTCTGACTGGCTTCCACAGAGCCAGACATCATGCCACCAACTCATGCCTCCCCTCATCCTTGGATCTCTGACTCAATTGGAGACACCAGTTTTAACCCAATGGTCCACACTCCTGAACTCTTACTCACAAAACCAACACAACTATCATTATCCCACAGAAAAAGTAATCAGGCATGCATACTCTGGATTAAAAAGTTCACACGGGTAAATGTAATTACATTATTTATTTTTACAGCTATTCAATTTTAATTCTCCAGAAAGGGCTGAGCATGCCTATCTTTAGTAGAGAGAGCGATAAAAAAAATGTATATGAACCTGGAAGTCGTTGTCTGAATAGTCTGATAAGTGGAAAACTCAACTGGCTGTTCACAAAGATGGCTTCGCTTTGGATTTCCATTTCCACTCTGTGTGTCACTACCTCCTGCCAGTTCTTCCTGGCTGGAGGAATACCAGGTGAGGTGTGATTGTCTCTGGAGACCCATGGCATCCATCTCCTGCTAGCTAACACCAAGGATTCTTCCTGACAAGGACATTCCAAAGCCTTTCTAAAGCCGGGTGCCAGTGGCTCATGCCTGTAATCCTAGCTACTCAGGAGGCTGACATGTGAGAATGGTAGTTCAAAGCCAGCCTGGGCAGGAAAGTCCATGAAACTCTTATTTCCAATTAAATACCAAAAGGCCAGAAGCAGAGTTGTGGTTCAAATGGTAGAGGGCTAGCCTTAAGCACAAAAGCTCAGGGACAACACCCAGGCTCTGGGTTCAAACCTCAGGTTCAGCACCCAAAACAAAACAAAACAAAATCCAAACTCAATTGCTTCAATCTAACTCAACAGCCAAGTTGAGAAAAGAGGTCGGGTCCCCCACATCATTCTGTCTAGGAGGAAGTGAGGTACTACTGGTAATTAGTCACACAATCTGATGAGAAACCTGAAGACCCCAGGCCTTCTCATGTCAGCTGCAGGATTTGCTAATGACATTAAGAACAAAGATAGACAGGAAGTTTTTTCAACGAGCTCAATTTTGAAAGAAGCCAACGAAACCCTTTTAGGAGCGCAATGAGCCAGTTAGGGGGGCCTGAAATGTCATTTCCATTTCAGAGGCCCACCCTTGTAACCCAGAAGGCTTCTGTGGAGAAGATAACATCCATCCTACCTGTAATTTCTTATCTCATGGCTACGTCAATTTCTTTCCATTTATTAGAGGACTGCAAGTAGACAACAATTCCTCTGAAAAACACATGCCTGCTTTCCCCCGGAAAACATCAACAACTAAGCACAACCAGGCGCTGACTCCAGCTGATTGTCATTTTGACCTTGCTTTGCTTTAATTCAGGAGACTATTTAGAAATGTAAAAAGCAACCCCCTTCCTTCGGCTCAGCTAGCAGAGCTAATAGGCTTCTAATTAATTTCCAGAAGATTGCTGTTATAACTAACAGGTTTTAAACATTTGGTTGATTGGGGAAAATGAATTGAATATAATGTATTTGATTTGGAAAATTAGTTTTCATTCTATGTGCTTACCATAATAGTGTTTATTTTAAGTTTACATGATTCCATTAAGAGTCTCAGAACACCACTGGGTTTTTTTTTTTCTTTCATCCTATCTAACTTAAAAAAAAAAGAATCAATTTACATTTAGATGTTTGTTGGTCTTTTATTGGAATGCAGGTTAAATTCATTTTTTTGTGGCTTTAATAAAAATCTTTCCTCTAATATAGCAGCAAGCCCTCAATACTTCAAAATGATCCCAGGGATACTTCAGGAGGGGAAAAAAGGCCCCTCATTGAATGCAAATCCTCCAGCGAAAGGCTCAGCCGACTACTACGGTGAACCAGTTCAGGCATTGTTTCTGAAGTTTCACTTGATTCCTCCTGACAACCATTTAAACAATGAATGTTGGGAAATGTCCCTCAAAGAATCGACAACAATAGCAGGAATGGGAGCTTTTATATTTAGCTAATACTATTTTTAAAAGGAGAAAAATATTTCTTCCTGAAGGGATTATGGGAAGCCTTATTAAAGACACCTGCAAACAAAACCTGACAATAGGTCTTTATCATCATTGATAAGTGAGTTATCCTTTATATAAAAACTCTTTTTTCCCCCCTTGGAAACAATAACACCAAGATTCACCTTGGCTATAAGGGCAAGAAATGGGCTAATTGGGACCAGGCGTACTCAGCTATGGAAAGCTGACCAAGATGATGCGACTAGGTGGTCAAAAGGACCCTCGTCTATCTGGTTAAACGAAGTATGAGACTAGAATGCTCTCTCCTCCCTCACACTGCTGAGGATGTTTTATATTGAAAGCAAGTAGCAGCCAACCCCTTCGCACCGTAATGGGATACAAAAACACAGGAAGGATTCTAATTAGCAGGACTCACTCGGCTAAGCACCTAGTGGGCCAGTCAGCTTTGGAAACCCAAACTTGGCCTAGTTCATAGTGGTGAACCATCATTGTGTAAAGCACCCTTCTAGCCATCTGTACTCTATGAAAAACATGACAAGTGCTTTCATGAAAGGTTGCTCCTGGTAGGAGAAATAACACAGCTAAATCCAGCAAGGTGTATTTAAAAAGTAAGTTTGTAGGAGAGAGAGAGAGAGAGAGAGAATCCAAGGTGCTTGTGTGCAGTACAAGGGCTACACCTGCAAGGCCATGCTTTGCGCTGGTTGACAGGAGATACCTTTACCCATGGGCTGAGCTGTTTGCAATCAGATATTCACAGCTGTCTTTCTGTGAGACTTAATAGAAATGTCTATAAGCATTTTAGGCTGATTAGTGATTTTCCTGACATAGCAAAGTTTCCAAACTAAGTAATTTTTACTCCTTTGACATCACAGGAGCCAGAGGCAATCCTAAGCTTGGGATGTGAGGCCATCAGGACCCAGCCAGAACAGAAGATCCTACCTCTTCTTTGTCTAACATTCAGCTTACAGTGAGAACAAACATTGTTAGAGGATTTTAGACTTTGCCAGAAAACCACATAGACATCCGGGTATGAAGAACAAAGAAAGGTTTATTGCCAGGAAAGGTGCCAGCAAGACCCCTTCTCACAAGGGAGAAGTGAGAAGAAGTGCCGGGTATGGTCTGAGGTGAGCTATATAACCTAGGAGGTTTAGATGGGGCTAGAAGGCAGAGAGCCTGGTGTGGAAGTGAGGGCCAGGGGCTTCATCATGGCGGACTAGGATTTATGGCTGCTGCCCAAATAGTAGATAAGGGGCCTTGCAGCTGCCCTGACATGAAGGTCACCCTAAAAGGCTCTTGTTGCCCAATATGGTGGTAGCTGCCCCAGAGAAGTGCCATCCCAAGGTAGAGGGGGTTAGAGGCTGATTATTTACTGCCTTTACTACTGCCTTTACTACATGGGCCTAGTGTGGCCTAAGAAAGGAACATGCTGAACTGTGGAAAGGGGAAGGAGCGTGCAAAGCTATGGGAAGGGAGCTCATTGGGCTAAGAAATATCAACTCACACTTAAGGAAAGTGACAACTAAAGTCCAAACTTCTGACAAGTGAGCAACAGCACAGCAAGTAGCTTTTAATGCAGTTCATTTCCAAAATAAACACTTGAAAAAAAAGAAAAGTTCTCACACCTGAGTCACTGAAACATAGACAGAATTAAATAAAGGGGGAAGGAGGCGGGGGTGGGGGGGTGGGGGGAGGAAAACCAACCAACAAATATCCACAGAAGTAACAATACACCATGAGGACATGAGAGATAATCTGACAAGTGAGCAACAGCACAGCAAGTAGCTTTTAATGCAGTTCATTTCCAAAATAAACACTTGAAAAAAAAGAAAAGTTCTCACACCTGAGTCACTGAAACATAGACAGAATTAAATAAAGGGGGAAGGAGGCGGGGGTGGGGGGGGGGGGGGAGGAAAACCAACCAACAAATATCCACAGAAGTAACAATACACCATGAGGACATGAGAGATAATATGACCCAATGTTGCTCTTTAGGACCTTAAGATCACAGTCAAAACTAACACCATATAAAAGGTATTTCTGTGGGATTGTTGGGTCTTTTCTTTTTTTAAGGACACCTTAAGACAGAGCAATCAACATGTGAAAAGAAAAGCTGCCTAGAAAAATAAAAAAGACATTTTCTGATATGACTTTGATCCTGTGCTCAAATTATTGGCTTAAGCATGCTTGCCTCTAAAAGCTTTGTATCTGCAATAACCGAGCTCCATTGTCCTTGTGAACAAAGTATTATTTTCACCTTATTATTACTAATCTTTTCTTTGTAAGGAACCACACCTGGTTTTATCCCCCTTTCAAGGGGGGGGGGAGAGGGAGGGGATAAAAACGGTGCAGTAAATATTTGCCCTTTGTGGTAATACAATGCATAATTTAGTTAATCTGGGCTATCTTTCCGTGAGAGGTGATTGTTTCTATATTATGAAATGTGTTCACAGTCAAGCGAAATCCCTGCCAGATCCCTGGGAGGCAGACAGAGAGCCACTTACCCAGCATGTAGATGCCACGGACCAAGGCTGACAGGCCTGGGAGGCCACACCTACACACAAGGTATTACTCATGCTAACTTAGCCTCCCAACCATTACCACACCTTTCTTCTACAAACATGGCCTTTTATTAAGGTAACAATTACACATAGTCAGGCCCAGAACCCTACTCCTTCTCCCCCCACCCCCTGCCACTCCCATCCATGGAAAGGCCTAGAAAGAAGAACTTGAATTTTACATTTGAGCCCTTCACAGAACAGTTACGTTACCTGGATGAAATCGAGAAATGTCAGGGGGAGCAAGTCATCCATATGTCCAATGTCTTTGGAGAAACGATTTAAAATTCTCCCTGCAAGAACAGGATATGAGAGATTATTCATTTCCCCAGACAGACCCTTGAAGAGATTCAATTTGAAAATGAATCAAAACAATATTTTCAATGCATAATGTAATTAATGTTATACATTCATCTGAAACAAGTTGATGTCAGTGGCAAAGACGAAGTAAAGTAGGATGATAGCCTAATGAGGAATAAAAATACCACCAAATCAAACTAGACAAGGAGTTGTAAGATGGCCCTGATTTTTTTTTTAACTATGGGGAAAACTTTTTGTGCTAGTATTGGGCAGGACTAGTCGGCTTTACGAAGTTCTATCCTTTTTAAATCCCACCTAGGATTTCACTCTAAGTAAAGAGATGAACAGTTGCAGAATATATACATGGATCCTTATTGTGGCACCAATTCTGTTTTAGCTATCACAACTAACTTTGCTAAATGGTGACTTTTTTTCAATAAATTGAATTGTTAACCTTTGATTCCTTTCCTGCCCACCCCTCAGGATGCTTCTGGGTACCTTGCATCCTGGGAAAATTTAAAATCCTTCACTACTGGCATCGGAGTGGTTATTTTCAGACAAGCATCAAGTGTGACAAATGCACACCTCAACATCCAAGAAGACAATGAGGAATGAATGCCAGAAAACATAAATAATACTCAGTGATTATGGGTCGCTTCTGATCACTGAATGGAAATTGAACCCATGCCGATGTCGAGTAGAATCCAGGAAAATGGTGTGTTGGCACCAGGCTTCCAAAGTAGAAAGCAGACTTCTAATAAATATCTGTTCTCTTCATTTTAACACAGATACACACATACACACTGAGTTTCTGAGTTTATTTTGATGCAAATAACCCTTGTTTGTATAAGCCCTTGAACTTCCTAAAGCAATGCTTTGGGAAGCCAGTTGGAGTGCAACACGGGGTTTTCGAGGTGTTCTTCCAAGTGTTTGTCAAAGGAGATTTCTTCTGGGGCCCTTCAACCCAGGAAGTCAAAGCCATGGGAGCATGGCAGATCACCGACCTCCTTCCTGGGGCACCTGGGCACAGCTGGGAAATGCAAGATATATAAACCCAGAGATAAGCTGGGCCTCAATTTTTTTCTGTCTCAGGCTTAGAACATACAGACTCCAGCATCTGTCATGTAGCGACATTCTTGGCAGGCCCAGTGACAACCTTTCTTAGACTAATAACACCTCCTTTAGAGAGTTGTTCAGGGGATTAAATGGGCCCATACCTACAAAAGAAGCTCATCACAATGCCAGACACATTTTTAACAGGTTCTCAAAACAAACAAACAAAACAGTGGGATGGCAACTGTTTCCCAGGTTCTGCAGCCTGTCACTTGAGAGGAAAGCCAACTGCTAGCTCAGGGTGGAGGCTGAGCATCTGAATGTCTAATAAGCTCCCAGGATGCCCTTGTGCCCTTGTGCCCAGCAAACCAGGCTTGAAGGGGAAGAGGTTGGGCAAGCATTCATCGGAATGCTTGAGGAACACTACAACTCTTCTCGCATATTCTTAAGGGCGTCTGTGGTGTAGCTAAGTTATTTCTTAAAGCATTTCAAAGAATCAGTGCAAAAGAAGAAAAATGAACGCTAGAAAATACCAACCATGTAATTAAAACACTTGTAATTTTTTGATGGGGAAGTTATAACTTTTAAACATAAGCAAGATTCAGACACAGTGAAAGAATGGTTCTACTCAAAAACTGTCAGAGCCATTTTTTAAAATGCTTTTTTAAAAAACCAACTTAAAAAAAAATCTTTAAAAAGGAAGACAGAAAGGCTATATAGAGATGGTGGGAATATGAAAATCATTCCATTATCTTTTCTCAGATGAAGGTCTGAAGAACCCATAACCAGTGGACAGAAATAAAATACAAGAGTAACACAAACCACTGAGAAACATCATTTTCACGCACACTCAATGAACTGAGCAGGGTGTAGAAAATGTGAGATCAGAAGGTTCAACAATTCCTTCCTTGTCCTAAGAAACAACGAAGAGCTGCTGTGGGTTGTTTGGAGATTATTTTCATCTGGCTTTGTGGCAGACTATTCTAATCAGAGCCCTGATGTCAAGCTTATGGCCCCACAGTCATTTTCTCAAGTCTCCAAATCAAATCCTCATGATGAATTCCCTCCAGGTTTCTGCCAAGCCTCTTCATCCCACTGACACAGGGCCCCTGGAGAAAAGTGTCCAGGGATATAAGAGAAGGAAAGTCACAGCTTCCTGGAGGGGGGGGGGGCAGGGAGGGTACAGCCCAGCCCATCTCCACTGTGTAGAAAGAGCTTGCTGACATGAAACCAAATTCTGTCTTCCTGAAACATCCAACTGTTACTCTGTTCATTTTGTCTGCATAACCAGGCAGAGTTAACTCGAGTTTCTCTTGATGTGGCAGCCCTTCATAAACATTAGGGGAAGTTAATCACAACCTTCCCAGAGTTCTCACAAGCAAATGATCCTTGGTGCATCAATTGTCGTTCATGTCCAGCCTTGGTCATTGTCATTGTCTCTGCTTGTGCCCAGACCACCAGACCAACTGAAATGCCTTGTGCCCAGGATTTAAAGAAACATTCCTGAGAAAGTCTGCGAAGCTTTAGAGTTCTGCACAGAGTGTAGCCCAGTCACAAAGCTCACCATCATAGCAAATTCTAGCAGCTACATCACACGCTGGATTCAGGTTCAATTTATTAAAAAGAAAAATCCATATCACATCAATCCACACAGGTGGATTATGGGAAAATATTAAGTAAATATGGATAAATATGGGAAAATACTAAGTAAATATGGATAAATATACTTACTCTTTCATGAGTGCATCTGTGTTGGCCTAGAGATTCCATTTCTAGGAAGTATCAATACATAAAGACCTTTACCGTAGTATTATTTAACAAGTCAGAATATGTTGGGGGTAAGATGTAAATTTATTCTGTGTTTACTTTTTCCACAGTGAGTACGATTTTGTTTTTGTGTTTTCTGGTATTACTGAAGTATGAATTCAGGCTTCTGTGGCTTAGCCTAGCAGAGTGAACCTTCTCAGGTTCATTCATGACATAAAATATCTCAGTAGTTCTTCCCTTTGCGTCCTATTCTCTTCCATAAATATAGTTTTAGGTACCACTAAATCCCTAGTACCACTAGGCCCCACTATACCACCGAGCCTTTGAGGGTAAAAAAAACATGCTTGGTACAATCTTTGGTCTTAATCATTGTACATATAAAGAGGAACATATCTAGAACCTACTAGTGGTTCTAGAAATTCAATATTTGGGTAAGAATTGGCCATTGGTACTAAGGGGTTAGTGTAATGTGAAGCCTAGAGCCAGGGTGATTTGGGTGGGGAGATTGGTTTCACATGAGTTGAAAACCAAAAATGCTGTGTTTGAGAAGGCCACCACTGTCTTGGTCCCTGCAGACAATGGTAGGTACAGTGGGGGTTGGAGGCACAAGTAAAAGAACGATTGTCTAAGTGAGACATAGACTCTAAATTCAAGCAGTCTAACCCAAAGAGTATAGTGTACCTAACGATGACTGAAAGAGAATGGGCTAGGTATAACACAGCACAGTAGGAAGAGAGTGATTCAAGGTAGAAGCACTGAGTGAAGCCCCGATGAATTCCAGGGCTGTAAAAGATCAGAGAGTGTGTGTGTGAGTGTGTGTGTGTGTGTGTGTGGTCTGGTTCATCTGTGTGTGTGTGTGTGCGCACGTGTGTGTGTGTGTGTGTGTGTGTGTGTGTGTGTGTAGTCTGATTTAACTTCATCCTTAAGGTCAGAATCTACAAGACAGAGGTTCACAGAACAGCAGAAAAGAGAAGGAGCAGAAAGCAGAAAGCAAGGCCCCAGGAGATCTTCCTCCTCCTCTGATATGCAGGAACAACAGGACTCTAAGCACTCCTTGAAGCCCTGCTGAGACTCAAAACAGTCATAATAAATTTACCTGACGACCTCACAGCAGATGAAAGATCAGGAGGATCTCACAAAGTCCCTTGTTTAAGTTCAAAGTAGTAAGGTTTTGAGCAAGGTTTTGCTCCTATTATTACTAGAGCGCCAAGGCTAATCATTTCCATTCTCTATATGATATGAAGATTCTGAGATTAGGGGCAGAGGAAGAAGAGGAGGCCAGGCATGGCTGACGCTGGCTACTCTGGACTCTTCTCCTCCTGCTGCCTTTCCCCTTCCTGACAGGAAGCCTCACACCCATGCATTATTCGCACAGAGATCACCTCTGAAGAAAGCTTCTACAGGCAACAGAAACATTCGTGGCACTTGAGTGGTCCACATTCCTCGTGTTAGAGATGAGGAGACAGAGACCACGCTCGAGGAGATGCTGTATTCATATTTCCTAATGCACAAGGGTCTTCGGCCCAGCCTTCTAGGGATTTCTATACTGAAGGAAAGTGAGCGTGGTGACCCTTTCTTCTTCAAGGCAACTAGCTTCAATAGCCTTCGCTGCCTCTTATTTTCCCTAGGATTTTTTTTTTAGTTCTCTTTTTAGAGTTTGCCAATGCGCAAGCCGTTCATTTCCTGTATATTTACCCATCCCATAGCTTATCTGCACTCCTCATCTCACTCGGCTTACTCACTCACAGCTATCCTATAAAAACACCTAAAGCTAATCTACACAGAATCCTTTGAAACTGACCCAAGACAACCCACAGCCAAACTTCTCAAGCAGGGCCTGAGACCTACTCCCCAAAACCCAGGGTGAAAATGTACAAAGCACTCTTGACTTACATGGATCTCACGTAATTACCAGCAAACGTTCATTTTTCATTTGAAATAACCTCTTTCATATCCTTACTTCTTTATCTACTGAATGTGTTCTATCAAGTTGTCAGACACAGGTACCAATCTAGCCTCCCTCCCATTCCTCCTGGCTGGAACTCCTCTGTCTTCTGCTCCTCCATCAGAAAGGGTCTTAGTCTTTGCTGGGCTCCCACCAACGTGTCAGCCTTTGTCCCTCCTGCTCTCAAATTCATGTTGCCACATGCAGTTCCACCTGAACTTCTCTGTC